TTTCAATAATTTCGTTATTATTGCAGTTGCAGTAATGGCTGCTGTAATGGAAGCAAAGCGTCTAGAGACAGGAATGGATCCAATTAGTTATGTGGGTGGTTTTATATCTGTAATACGCATGCGCATTACTCCCTCATGGACAAAAATCACAAAATGGCTGCCACCAACTGAGTGTTTTTCATATTTCTAGTGCTGTCTTTGTGGTTCCAGGCCTTTTTGCTAGTTGTTTGCATGAGTTGGATCACTGATTAGACTAATATAACCTTGCACTAGGTAATTATGCACTTATCATTTCTTATGCCCTTGCTATAATTGTATCAGCTCCCATCATACATGTACATAACTCCATTCATTCATACACTAAGTTATTTTTTTTTCTTTTTTTTTCTGGTTCCTGGTGAGTTTACCAGGTTACCATCAGCACTCTAACTCCCTGTGTTTTCATTCTACTATTGTGCTGTAGAGTTTATTAATAATAATAATAATAATAATAATAATAATAATTTATTCTCAGACTGCTATAAATTATGCCTTTTTATATACTGTGACTATTGTAATCACCTATATATAGAATGTATCTTTTAATTATTTTTGTGTGAGGAAATGGGCTTTTTAGTCTTTCCTGGGTTATCATTTGTTCCTTCCACTACAATTACTCATTTCAGAACTGTAAGTAATACGTCTGTCAATTTAAGCCTCATTATGGGGAATATATAGTGAGGGATTTAATAGGAAGTTCATCACTCTGAGAATGCCCCAGGGTAGGGATTTTTCTCCAACAAGCCTATAGGAAGACTTCGCTAGTTTGACCAAGTTACGTTTCAAAAATGCTAAGTTTACCCAGCAGAGCTGAGTTCAGTAGCAGTTGAGTGGTTGTTTAACGTTCCTTAAATTTAGTAGGGGATTTGACTGAAGGGAACGGCCCCAGAGGTAGTGATTTAATTAATTAATTAATTTGAAACCCCAACTATGCCCCATTATGACCTGTACTGGGATAGTGGAGCTTGATATTGATAAGTACACGATAAATTTATTGTAAATGTCTGCTATTTTATATATTTATTTTTTATAGGCATTTTATACCTTTCCAGCAAATTGGATCACAAGAGGTTGCTCATGAGTTTTTGCTTACATGTGTAGTAGGAGACTAGGAGCTCAAGTAGGTACAAGGTTGAGCTGTAAGCTGTGTATAATTATAGACCACTAGCAGTAAAAATTGATTACATAGGAAGATTATTAGAAATTTTTACGGTTGTAAGGTGTGGTTTAGGGTGAAATGAATTCAGCTGCCATTTTGGTTGACAACTTTTAATGGAGAACAAACGGGCTGGCATGAAAACAAGCCTGTATTGAGAATTCTGGGGCAAATTGGACCATATCTTTTTGAGCATACAGATCTTTTTTCTTATAACAAGCACATTTTAGCTTTTAATAGAGCTACAGCAGGTAAGTGAGGCATTTTCTTCTTGCATTCTTTGCCGACTTCCTTAACAAACTTGCCAACAAAAATGGCAGCCAATTATGACATGTGGGCAGATACCGTATATAAAATTAATGAAATTCATTTCCAATTCTCACTTCCAGTGGTCTATAATTAGTTTTTAAGTCAGTATAGTTTTTAAATTCGTAAATTTTTTATTCATGCATTAAATAATGCAAGCAATGACATATTCCACTTTTACAGTACTTCTGACTATTAAAGCTGTTAGTTTTGTAGTTTTGAATTTACATGTATGCTATTTTTATGATAATTAGAATGTCACGAAAAGCTATCAGTATTGTTCATGGTGGTGGACGAAACTCTGGATGCTATATTTGGAGATGTTGGTACTTAATAGAATAACTATTCATGAAATGATTTATTTTATTACCGTAGGCCGGGTTTCGATTGCGAGGTTTTTTTTTATTGCGAATTGTGAGTCTGGAATACATCTTGCAATGAAAAGAATCGTAATTAATAATAATTGATAAGCGCCACGCCTATAATAATTAATAAGCACCACGCCTATCAATCATTTTCTCTACACGTGTTTCATTTTACAGCATCATGAGTGGTATCCTGTGCTATTGTCAGCCCAAATTACCCGATCTAGTCAAGTCCCAATGCCACCTAACATCTTGAAGGAAGTTAATCAAGCTGTGGCATTAGCTTTAGATGGCAAAGGAGAGAAACAAGACAATCAGTTAACTTGTGAGTGGGCTAGCTAGGCTAGCATCTCGCAATTGTTGGAAACGCAAACTAGTTATTTTTCAAATTCGCAATCTAGTAGATACGCAATTGAAACCCGGCCTACGGTATGCTACTAATGTTTAGAATTGTAGCTAGAAATTACTGTCGTCTAAAATTTCTGTGAATTTTGCAGATTTTATTTTAGCAAAATTACCATGCCTTTCAATGTGTACTGATTTTAAAGGATTAAATTTTCACAGTTTTCGAAATCTGCATAATTAGCAGAAATTTTGGGCAACAGAAATATCTAGCTCCATGTGTATGGCATTTGCAATGAAAGGTTTATTTTTAACTTCTTATCTCTGTTAAACAGATAACATTTCCCCAAGACTAGATATATTATCAACTCTTTATTTCCCTTGGCACTACTTAATGTGACACCAGTATATTTCCAGGTCAGTAAAA